ATAATGTAGCTGCACTGAGAACAGAACATCAGGAGCATTTTAAATTCAAAATAATTCCTAAAGTTTGCTCTTAATGATGTCAAATGGTCTGCAGATGGGCAATAAATACTACCAGTGTTACCAAATCCCAAGAGCAAATTAAAAACATTTGTAAATATCCTTGACGGCTCTTCTCATAAGTTGCCATAAGTAACTTTGACAGAAAATCAATTGAATCCTTCTGTGTGCAATTTATTTTGGGTTTCCTTTGGCCTCCTGGCAAAGCTACGGATGGAGTGCAATCAGGAAATTCCTGGTATCCATCTTCTGTATTTGCTAGCAGTGAACCTTCGTGGACTGTGGAGGTTATTTTACTGCATTATTTCCATTTGGAGCTTTTGAAGTGTTAATGTTGTAGTTTAGGGTTAATTTTATAGCAATATTACTACAAAGAAATTTAGTCCTGACACTTGAGTAGATTTATTATTGTAATATATATGTCTTCTGTCATGTGAGAGCTCAGGAGATTCATTACACATCGACTTGCATTAGTACCAGTGTAGCTAGATAAGATTTAAAGGCCCTCAGGCAGGTTTTCAATCATAAAGTGGTTCCATGTTTGGAGTTCTTCATTTTAAGTTCTTATTTGAAAAGAAACTCCTCATATGTTTTCATTCTTTAAGCACAGATGAAAATCAGTGAAGATTCGGGAGGGTGGGAGTAGGGAAATATAAATGCTATCTTGGATAAAACTACATGGGCTACAATGAACTATCCACAAAATGTCATGGGCATCTCTCTCCATTAAAGATGGTTGGTTATGTAGCTTAAGGGCCACCATTCATTATCGCATATGAGGCAAGGTGAAGAAACTGACCTCCAGTACAGCTAATATGGGGATTGAACTCATGCTGTTTACATTAATCTGCGCCATAATCTAGCCAGCTGATGTAAATGACCCCTATGATGATAAGGTCGTGCTTATTTATTTATTTATTATTATTATTTGCTTGTTTCTTCTCTCCAGGTACCATTTTAAACTCTTTTTTTGCCTCAGTCCTATTTGTTATCTCACCCAGGTAAAAGAAAAATCTTGTATTTATATAGACAATACATGGTGGAGCTGGAGGAACACAGCAGGCCAAGCAGCATCAGAGGAGACGAAAAATTGACGTTTTGGGTCAGGACCCTTCCTCAGAGCTATCTCCTTGTATTTATATAGCACCTTTTACAATTTTAGAATGTCACAAAGTGCTTCACAGCTAAATAAGTAATTTAGTTGTCACTGTTATAAAGGCAATGCAGCAGACAATTGAGAAACTCTTGCATACAGCAATATAGTAGTGAGCAAATAATCAACTCTATTGATGCTGTTTAAGGTGTGCATATTATCCAGGGCAATGGATTGGTGGGAGCCTTTCTGTAGCTCTGGAAGTTATGTTAAACATGTATAGCACATAGTTCAGCCTCAACTGGAGTGCTGCATCCAGTTCTAGGCTCTGTACTTAAGGAAAGATGTGATAACATTAGCAACAGTGCAGAAAATATTCATGAGAAAGGTCATGAGGATGAGGAACTTCAGTAACTTCAATGAAGATGGATTAGAGAGTTGGAGACTGTTTTGTTTGGAAAAGAGAAGATTGAGAGGAGATTTAATAGACAAATTCAAAATCATCAGGAGCCTGGTCAAGAGTATTTACAACAACGATGTTCCCATTGGAAGAAGGATCAAGATAGAAAGGTATAAAGTTAAGGTAATTGGCAAAAGATGTCTAGAAAAAGGTTTAATGGTAGAATGTTGAACAGCTGCAGTTCAAAAACAAACAAAAAAATGAGTTAAAACCAAAAACTGCAAAGTATATTGTCTGAAATTATTGAATTCAGTTTGTATCCAGAAGGCTGTAAAGTAAGATTTGAATATAGCCTTCAAACCTCATTGGAACACTGAAGATGGCTGAAGACAGAAAGCCCAGTGTAAAGGCAAGTTAAATAATTAAAATTTCAGATGACTAGAAGCCCTGGGTCATGTTTGTGGAAGGTTGCCCCATTAATGCAGCCGTACCTGACAGAAAGTGGCATCAAATCTTCACCATGTTACTTTATCAATTTCCTGACCCTAACCTTCTGATCTTCAAATCCACACTATGCTCTTAACACATTAAATAAGGGCATGATCCAAGAAAATGGAATGGAAGATAGTACCTGAAAATTGCACCAAAAACGTATAAATTTATGTTTGTATACACGGTTCGAGTCTAAACTTATTTTTATTCAAGATTATAGTATATATAGTAGTCAATTTTGCCCAATATATACTGGTGCACACTGTTATAACAAATGAAACATAAAAGTTGTTTTTGTTGCATGTTTCAATAAATCAATCATTAAGTTAATTATACAAGATATCTCAATATTAATATCACTCCACTCCTAGGACACAGCATCCACTGTCTTAGATCTTCTTTGTATTATATGAAATATCTACAGATTGTGTCGTCAAGACTCCACGTCCCTCAATAGCTTCATTTACTTTGCTCTGTTAGTCTGACTTGTTATGATATATGAGTTCTGCCTGAAGGCAGGTCCTTGGTTCATTGTCCACTGATGCTTCATCCTGAGTGGCTTTCCTTGGCAATTTGTCAGTGGTATTTCACCATTGCCTTCCACCCTTGGGGCAGAGCAAGGAGGCAGGTCCCAAATCTACTTCAGCTGGAATGGGAATTGAACTACTGCAGGTGGCATTCTGAACTTCATGCTAGCTATCTAAATTACCCAGTGTCTACCCAATTGGCATTGCAAAAGCAAACTTTTTGTTTTCATGAATGAATTCATCAGAATTTCAATGCTTCTTTCTATGAAATCTTGATAATAGAACATAGAACAGTACAGGCCCTTCGGCCCACGATATTGTGCTGAACTTTTACCCTAAACCTAAGGTCTATCTAACCTCCACCCCTACCTTATACTATCATCCATATGCCTATCTAATAGCTGCTTAAATCCCCGTAATGAGGCCGACTCCACTACCCTCTCCGGCAATGCATTCCACGCCCTTACCACTCTCTGAGTAAAGAAGCTACCTCTGACATCTCCCCTATATCTACCTCCACTCACTTTAAAACTATGCCCTCTCGTAATAGCTACCTCCAGCCTAGAAAAATGTCTCTGGCTGTCCACTCTATCTATACCTCTGATCATTTTGTACACCTCTATCAAGTCACCTCCTATCCTTCGTCATTCTAAAGAGAAAAGCCCTAGTTCTCTCAACCTTTCCTCGTAAGACCTTCCCTCCATTCCAGGCAACATCCTGGTAAATCTCCTCTGCCCCTTTTCCAATGCTTCCACATCTTTCCTGTAATGAGGCAACCAGAACTGGACACAATACTCCAGATGTGGCCGAACCAGGCTTTTGTATAGCTGGAGCATAACTTCACGGCTCTTGAACTCAATCCCTCAATTAATGAAAGCTAACAGACCATACGCCTTCTTAACAACTCTATCCACCTGGGTGGCAGCTTTCAGGGAACTGTGGACATGAACCCCAAGATCCCTCTGTTCCTCCACACTGCCAAGAATCTTTCTGTTAACCCTGTATTCTGCTTTCAAGTTTGTCCTTCCAAAATGAATCACCTGACACTTTTCAGGGTTAAACTCCATCTGCCACTTCTCAGCCCAGCTTTGCATCCTATCAATGTCCCTTTGTAACCTAGAACAGCCCTCCGCACTGTCCACAATGCGACCCACCTTCGTATCGTCCGCGAACTTACTAATCCACCCTTCCATTCCTTCATCCAAATCATTTACAAAAATCACAAATAGAAGAGGCCCCAGAACTGATCCTTGTGGTACAGCACTCGTAACTGAGCACCATGTTGAATATTTTCCTTCCACTACCACCCTTTGTCTTCTAAGGGTCAGCCAATTCTGAATCCAATCTGCCACATTTCCCCCTATCCCATGCCTCCTTACCTTCTACATGAGCCTACCATGGGGAACCTTATCAAACACCTTACTTGAATCCATGTATACCACATCCACTGCTCTACCTTCATCCATGTGTTTGGTCACCTCTTCAAAGAATTCAATAAGGTTTGTGAAGCATGATCTACCCCTCACAATCTGGGATTCTATTTTATTGTTTTCAATTTTGACTTTAATATTTCCTCAGCTCAGTCTTTTAGATACACAATTCTAAGATTAAAAAGAAAGGCTTTGGATAATTAACAATGAACAATAATATTCCTTCATATGATCATTTTAATGATTCCACGAAAATGCCACCTCCAATCCCAATTCTGAATTTATTACAGCACTAAAAGTGGACTCATTCCCGTGTAAAGACCTGCTGATAATATACTGGCTTGGATATCTGGTTAATACAGTGTAAAGCAGCAACAAGACATTCTAGGGCTTAGATCATTGCAGAAGGACATGAGAACCTGGATGCAAGGGAGCTATTTCAGTTTTGAATAAGCTCTGGCTTGGATGGTGAAGCCAAAAGCTCTGACAGCTCGAGGCTATTGGATGGCAAGATGAGAATAATGCGTTTTAACATTGTTAGTTTGGATAGTAACCAAAACACAAAATTCCAATGCCAGCTACTGTTTGGTCTTTGAGTTGACAATTTATTATCCTGCGGTGCGAGTTTTACTTTTAGGGAATTTTATTAAGAGGGTAAGGGCAGGTACAGCTGCAGTATTTAAAAGACATTTGGACAGGTACCTGATAGGAAAGGTTTAGAGGGATATGGGCCAAACACAGGCAAATTGGACTAGTTTACTTTGGGAAACTAGGTTGACATGGACGAGTTGGACTGAAGGGTCTGTTTCTGTGTTGTATGACCCAATGACTCTAGGACTGTAGAGGAGGAGTGATCCCTTGACCATGACAGTGTGATGTTGCTGAAACTATCGAACTGAAACTGATGTAGGATTAGCTCCTTCAGGAGACGTGAGGAGAATATTGTTTCTCTCTATCGGTATTTGTTGATGTAGCTGCTGATTCTTTCTTACCTCCTACAGAAAGAAGGACCAGCACCAGGGCACTATAATGTGAAGTCTCAAACCTTGTCTCAGACCATGACTTCGTCCTTCCAGTCAAAAGTACCTCGGTTCTTACCTACTCCCAGTGTGAGTATGAAAATCTATAAGGCTCAAAATGTCTACAAATAGAACATTGCCCTTGGTAGATATCTGAAAATATGAACACAAAAATCTAGCAATGCAACTTCAAAAGCAGTTGTAATTTAATTAGTGGGCTATGCAGATGCTTTTCCAAATGCTATATATACCTGTGTGAATTCCCAGGAGTGGTGACAGCATTCACAAACTTGTCAACACTTTAGGGCATATTTTGCAATATGAAGGGAAATTAGGCAAGATTGTTGAGGAGCAATAAGTCTGCTTATGTGGAACTGGACTGACATGAAATGATATTCTTTAAACATCCCAAGTATTGATGTGAGCTGGATGTTTGCTAAAGGTTGGGAAATTATGTGTTAGTTAATTTGAAGACTTGTTGGAAACAATTAGAAGGATGTAAAAACCAAAAGAACTGCAGATGCTATAATTCAGGAACAAAAACAGAAATTGCTGGAAAAGCTCAGCAGGTCTGGCCGCATGTGTGAAGAAAAAGATCAGAGTTAATGTTTCGGGTCCGGTGACCCTTCCTCAGAACTGATGGTGGCTGGCAAAACATCAGTTTACATGCATCTTATAAACTGTTTATATGTCCAACTGTTCTTCTCTCTCTTCGGGCTCTATCCTATCGTTTACTCCCTACCCCACCCATCCTCCCTATTTTCTGCATATAAACTGGCATTTTCCCAGCCACCATACGTTCTGAGGAAGGGTACCAGACCCGAAACGTTAACTCTGATTTTTTTCTTCACATGCTGCCAGGCCTGCTGAGCTTTTCCAGCAACTTTGTTTTTGAATTAGAAGGATGTAACCTATTAATGGACTATCAAGTCAAAATTGTACTAGACTTTAAGATTGCTGAGATTTTCAATGTATTTTTCAACCCTTCCAAAGGCTGTACAAGGTACAGGTGACCTGGTAACAAAGAAAGACTAAATAAATGTGGAGACAAGAAGCAGATTCAGTGGGCAAGAGAATGAGGGATAGAGCCTCCAAAGATGCGAATTATAGAATCCCTACAGTGTGGAAACAGGCTCTTTAGCCCAACAAGTCCACACTGACCCTCAGAGCATCCCACCCAGAACCATCCCCTGATGACCCACCTAATCTACACATCCCTGAACACTATGGGCAATTTAGCATGGCCAATCCACCTAACCTGCAGGTCTTTGGACTGTGGGAGGAAACCAGAGCACCCAGTGGAAACCCATGCAGATACTGGAAGAACGCGCAAACTCCACACAGACAGTCGCCCGAGGCTGGAATTGAACCCGGGTCCCTGGTGCTGTGAGGCAGCAGTGCTAACCACTGAGCCACTATGCCACCCTGTTAAGATTAACCACTAAAATAGTTAACAAGCCATTCTCCAGATGAAACTCATACCTTGCATAAAAATTATGAAATTCTACGGAAAACACACGCAGTCAGTAAGCTGCCAATTTGAAACTGACTCACACATTTCAGAGTTCCAAGTTTCAGTGCTTCATCTGAACTGATATAGCAGATCTCAGTTGGAGATTTTTTATTGCAAAAATATACTTTATTCATAAAAAATCTTAATGTACATGCTCAAGGTACTAAAACAGTTCTGTACAGTTTTTGCAGAAACAGAAAAAAACTAACAGATTCCTCAGGGCTTCCCTGCATTTAAATAAAGGCATTTCCTACTCATGCAGGACACTATTTGCATACATTTTGAGACAATGAGAGGGTCTGATAACTGAATGGACCCTCATTGTACTTTGGCAGAAATATCCTAGACAGCGGTCTTTCCCCACGGCGCTTTGGCAGCAGCTCCCCGAAGCTTTAGTACGTCCCTCTGTACATGGCCCTGGACCTTGGAATGTGCCAGTCTGTGACAGTCAAGGTCAGCTCTTTACACTGGAAGCAGGCAAGTTTCAGGAAAACCAAAGAGCGTCTTTCACTGGAGTTGATGGTCCTCCAGGCACAATTGATGTTTGTCTTGGTGTGCGTCCCAAGGAAAAGCCCACAGAGCATAGAGTACTGTGTCGCGGAACTGTTCGGGACGAACCTAAACAAAAACCACTGCATCTCTCTTCAGACCTTCTTTGCAAAAGCACATTCCAGCAGGAGACCCACTCTGCAACACCACCCCCCCTCCCCCACAGCTGGAGAGAGCCCAGGTGTACATGAAGAATCTCACAGGTAGTGCCCTTCTCACCACCAGCCAAGCTACGTCTTAATGCTTGTAGGAAAGTTCTGGTGATGAGGCATTCTGCCAAATGACTTTGAAAGTCTGCTCAGGGAACAGCCCGGCAGAATCCACCCTCTGATCTGGAGATGGGTAAGATTTAACAAATGCACGTGATGCTCCCAAGTCAGGTGTAGGAGAAGTTAGCAATAGTTCTAATTCTATACCATTCTCCAATAGCTACTTCAGCAAGATACAATATTTACATCAGAAAAGAATTTTTACAGCGAAGGCTGTGTTTCCTTTTGAATAGTTAGTATTTACTGTTGTTAGATCTCAATTAGCATATGAATTAATTAAGCAACTTATACAACTGGTGATGAAACTAGTAGCTTTGTACAGCCAATTAGAAAAAAAGTGGGTGTTTAGGAACTGCTTAGTTAGGAGCAGACGAAACATTCATCATTGCCAGTCTTGGAGTATTAAAGAAATCCTTTGGCAAGTGTAAGAAAGATTTTGGTCCCACCCTAAACAGTGCTTTTCAATCAAAGATGTTATATCTGAAGACTAATCTTTTTAAAGGGTATTTAAACTGTTCTATTCTGAATGGTAATTCTTCAGGGGATTTTAAGCACTTTGAGATGAACATTGTCATTGATGGGAAACTGAACATTCTCTCATTTTAGGTACCAGTCTCTTCGTTCACTACTCCCAGATGGGGTGGAAACGTAGATTAGAATAAGGTTCCCAATACATTGTCCATAAACATATCTGCTATCAGCTCATGTGCCCCATTAGAAGCTCAACCCATCATATGTAGAATCCTTTCAGTCAACAGGAAGAGGAGGCATTCATTCTCTTAGTGTTCCCAGGGCTAAAGGGGCAGTGTGGTGGCCCATTGTACCAGACAATCCCATAAGATACCCAAATCTTGGAAACCAGGCAGTCGCTTTCTGTCTGGATCTTGGAGTGGCAAGATTATGTCTAAGCTTGGATCATTTGTACAGGTGCCTCTAGTAAGGCTGGAATCCATGACCAGTTGATTGCCTGATTCCATACAAGTGTCTAATTGGTGAATTAACGTGCTGAAAAGTATTGATTTGCTTGCTTATCATTATCAGATTAAATGTCTACCATATACACGATAAACTTTTATGAATGTTTTGCATTGTTACATAATCAATGACTATTATTTTGAAAAACTGCACAGAATGAAATTGGTCTAATATAGGATGTACTGCTGAACACTATAAATCAAGAGCTCCTTAAGCTTCTCTGAGTGGCCTCAGTGATAAGGAAAGCAAAATCCAATACAAGTTCTGCTCCTAATCACTATCCATGGATGCTAATTAGAAAGTGCATATTTGGGGATTAGAAGAGAAAAGAATAAGACTAAGTTATGATATTTCATGATTGATTTGCAATCAATCCCTTACTTTTAGATAGTACTAGAGGACCTTTGGCTTTCAGGGAAGAGGGAGGTGAGGTGGGGTGGAAATTTGACGAACAAATGTCAAAGATTAGATCTATAAAAGGATGTTTAAATTTATTTTTCAAATAGGCCAGGAAATGATAGCTTTAAAAGGGTTGTTGTTTCAGTGGTAATTTGCTCTTTATATATTAACAGAAAACACCAGGACCAGGAACATATGATCCTATCAGACGGCAACCAAGCTGGGCCAATGCTACTTCGGGTCTGTATTATTAGTAATTAAACGTGTAAAATACTTAATGTCTCAATTCCATTCAGATTTTTCGCAACTTAACATACACGTAATTTTCATTGCCATTGTTTCTTGGATATGTTAATAACTCAGTGGACATCATGTAAACAAAATGGCTGTCAATTAAGCTGGAAAAAGTAAAAGAAAAGGTGGATTAATCAAATTCCTTTGTACAGTAGCACAATAAAGATTAAGGGGAAAAATTAGAATATAACAGCGCGGAAAACATGCTAAATCTTTATAAAGTTGTCAATTGTGGCTAAGCACTAACATCCTCACCTGGGTTCAAGACCCCATTCAGGGAAATGTTCATGAAATCCAGCCTGACACACCAACGCAGCACTCCCTCAGTATTACATTGTCAAAGAAGACATATATTTCAGAGGTGTGATTTATACAAGTGTTCAAAATTATGGTGTGTTTTGATACAGTATATGAAAAGAAGCTGTTTCCACATGCAAGATGGTCAATGTTCAGATAGATTTAAGAACCAAGGTTATATGAGATTTATTTTTACACAGTGTGTTGCTATGATCTAGAATGCACCATCTGAATAACAGTGCGTTCATTGAATGTATTCATTGGTAACTTTGCAAAGGGGGTTAAATGTATACTTATAAGAATGCAATTTGTGACGAAGGCAGGGAAATGGGGCTAATTGGATCACTCTATCAATAAGCCAATACCAAGTTTGAAAGCAAAATGGTTGATTCTATGAATTTCCACTGAGATTAGGGTCTGTTTGAACTCGGTGCAGTGTGAATAAATGAAAGATTACACAAATATGCAAATCTGAAATATGTCCCCAGCATATTAGTACATGTAACTACTGTACAAAGAAGGTTATGCAATTTTTTTGCGAAGTACCAGTGTGTATGAATTAGCACCAGAAATAGGTTATGGCTGTTAATATCTATGTTTCACTGTGTATTTGGGTGTTCCACTGAATTGAATTGTCACAGAAAAAAAATAAAAGACAGCTTTTAGTTTAAGGTCTGCATGTTCGCCTCCTCCTGAATGCTAACCACCTGTCAATCAAAAGCCCTGTTTGTAATGCAGGGTTTGTGCTGGAGTGAATGCAGGTCAGAAGATCGTTTTTATCTCCTGTCACAATGGAGTACAGCCTTCATTATTTGTCTGATATCTGCATCAGCTTTTTGAGGGTGCTGGGTATTGTGATTTGGAAAATGTTTAACTCTGCTTTTGCACAAAGGAGGGATGACACAATTGGCAATTAAATTGCTAATCACGTGTAGTGCTATCTCATGCATCAGTTTTAACTGATTTTGTGTATTGAGGAGTAATTGTCAGGGCATGGTGTGTTGGGGGAGGGGGTTTGTGGAGAGAAACCCCCTCATCCTATTTGAATAGGAAATAATGCAAGTGGAACTCAGGAGACTCATGGTAATATGCTTGATGGATTGATTGCCCAGTTGTGCCACAAATCACACTGCAATTCCACTAAATTATAAATGAAGATTCCCCACTATAAATGTATATTCTATCAAGTAAATGAAATGTGATTTCAATGCAGTGTTTTTTCTGTCTCCATTGAAGTGGTGTGTCGCACTGTCTTGGTGAGGGATTTGAGGTGATGAAGAACATAGAACATAGAACATTACAGCGCAGTACAGGCCCTTCGGCCCTCGATGTTGCGCCGACCTGTGAAACCAATCTGAAGCCCATCTAACCTACACTATTCCATTATTATCCATATGTTTATCCAATGACCAATTAAATTCCCTTAAAGTTGGCGAGTCTACTACTGTTGCAGGCAGGGCATTCCACGCCCTTACTACTCTCCGAGTAAAGAACCTACCTCTGACATCTGTCCTATATCTATCACCCCTCAATTTGAAGCTATGTCCCCTCGTGCTAGCCATCGCCATCCGAGGAAAAAGGAAGAAGTGCTGGATGTCTAAAGTTCAGCACTTACAAGATTTGAAAAATGGTGAATAAACAGAAGCTTCAATCAGGAATTCTAGCAGTAATGTTTCAATTCTTTTCCTTTCTCCTTCTTTCCCGACATAGCCTCATTATTGGCTATAATTGCACAACCTCTTTAGCACCTTCTCTGATTGGCTATTCTTTAATTGTTAATTTTCTTACCTTATCTCCTGAAGGTACAGATTGTTTTGCTTTGGTATAATTTTCATTGCCTCATCCAAGGAACTTTACTTCATGCTTGAGCCCAGTTGGCAGTTGTCAGGAGAATAAAGGCCAGTGCTGTCCTCACAGATGCACGTTCCAGTAGGAGGCATTTGATAAAAGTCAGCAATGGGAGATTTGGCAGTTCCGCATCCCAAACCTAGCCTTATGCTGCTGAAGTAGATTGTTCTCACTCAATTACTGGCCTGCCTAAGATCTGCTAATTCGGTGAAAAGTATGAATCCGATGTGAGATTTTCCTTCAGGGCATGTTTATCCATTAAGCCTTGGAGATAATTTTTCACTTGTAAGTCAGATCCAAAATATATGTGGATCTATATTTTACCGTACAGTTAAATCTCCTCCCAGACTCTTTGAACCTGCTCCTCTTGGGGCTTTCTTGAAAACATATGGGAAGATCTGGTTGCAGCTAGTTTAGATCTAATAGTGAGAGCCCTTTTGAAAAGGGCAGGGTAACAAATGGCTCTCAACGTGAATACACCTGTTTTTTGTTAACCTTTACTTGAAAGAATTCCAGTTTTGTTGTTCCACATGATTGTCCATATTGATGCACTTTATCTGAGGAAATCAAGGCCTTGAGATGTGATGTTGCATGCTGACATGTTGCACAATCAAGTTAAAAGTTCATGATTCACTTTCAGAAATGTACAGGGTAGATTTTTTTGTTGACATCTCAGAATTATGTCAGGCCACCAGGGAGGTACTGTTGAGTGGGAAGCATCAAACTTTTTCTCCGTCAGGATGTCAGATTCTATGGTAGTTAGAAAAACAATAGGGTGAATCTTTACCATTAGCAATTAATGCATGGTATATTGTGGGAATTACAAACTAAATTTCCAATGAGGCTCATTATCTAGAATTATAAAATCCCTCCAGTGCACAAACAGGCTGTCTACACTGACACTCTGAAGAGCATCCCACCAGACCTCCCCCTGTTAACCTTGCATTTACCCTGCTAATCCACCTAGCCTACATATCAGTGGATGCTATGGGCAATTTAGCATGGCCAATCCACCTAACCTGCACATCTTTGGACTAGGGGAGGAAACCAGAACACCCGGCAGAAATCCACACAAACGTGGGGAGAACATGCAAGCAGACAGTTAGCCAAGGTTTGGGTCCATAGTGCTGTGAGTCAGCAGTGTTAACCACTGAGCTATCAAGCTACCCCAACCACTGAGTTTAAATTGTTTAAGTGCTCCTAACAAGATGCTGAACTTGCAAGGTGTGCTCGTCAGGAAACAACAGGCCACCAATTGAAATGGAAAGAAAATCCAGATGCTCAATTTTAACCCACTGCTGTGGGTTGTTCTATGAGGAAGTCATACCTCTGCTGCAGAGGTTGCATGCACCCTGTGTATTATTGCTTATTAGAAGCTGGATTTCTGCCACCATCCGCTTTTAGGGTAGGGATTCACAGGGGTATACCTGATCTGGTGTGGTAGCAGAAAACCATTAGGTAATCTAATGAGAAGATGCTCTTGTATTAAGATGTAGTTTATTGCATGATGGCAACTAGCTAGCAGTTACGTTAATATGGTAGACATTGTTCCAGAGGTTATGAGAAAGGCCTGCATGGGTGTCTTACTCCTTTGAAAACCCAAGTTTTTCTCTCACCAAGCCCAAGTGACATTGGCTGATGTGTTTAAGGCACTCCTCAGTATTAACTCTTTCAGACTGTTAGAACCTTATGCAAAAGGGTGAGCCCTTTAAAAAGTAGCCTTTAGCTTTACTGTCTCATTCTTACTGGAAACCCGGTGGTCATCGTTCCAAATGCTCACTGCAGTTCAGGTGGTTGAGGAACACACAGGAGAAAATGGGAATCACGTTAACTAATACAGATTGGAGTCCTTGTTCATTAAAACACCATTAGGAATCCCATTCATCAAGCCACTGTGACCTTCCCGCCCAGTGAAAGGCCTTCCAAGGTGGGTGGAAAATTTTCCTTTGTGGGCCCCAGGGGGAGTGGAACAGGAGTGAGGCTATCCTGAAAACCAGCCCAAAATATATCTTCTCCTCGCCAAACTGACTTGGGTTCCAGCCAGCAGATGAGAGCTGCTTGAATTTCTTCTCCCAGCAATCTGGCAGCTACCACTCTCTACTGTTTTGGGCCGGTAGGGTGCAGATCAGGTGTAAGAGCAAAAATGCTCCATGCCTTAAGCATATGTCAGCAAGTACATTATACATCCATATTCTGCCCACCTGAAACCCAGACCCTCTTCCTTAATGTTCCTCATCTTTCAACATTTCTCCATGGCTCAATGCCAATTAAATGGGAAATCCAGCCCTGTTATCTTGTAACTATATCGATTGTGGAGATTGATTGATTGCCATGATTTCTCAACAAATTAATTCCTTTGTAACCACATCCAACACTTCCTAAGGAAGTTCTAACTGCCACTCCTCTTCTAAAAATTACTCATTCTTAAACCCAGAGATAGTAAGAACTGTCGATGCTGGAGCCAGAGATAACACAGTGTGGAGCTGGAGGAACACTGCAGGCCAGGCAGCATCAGAGGAGCAGGAAAGTTGACTTTTAGGGTTGGGACTCTTCTTCAGAAAATTTCTTCAGAAGATTTCTGAAGAAGGATCCCAACCCAAAACGTCAACTTTCCTGCTCCTCTGATGCTGCCTGGCCTGCTGTGTT